GTAGGTCGGCTCTCAGGATTTGCTGCGAGAATGGGTGTTCTATCGCTCCTCTGCTCTTCCTCCCGTCGACTCGAGCTTGCAAGTCACGAACTTGTGCCAGTAGTTGCTCTAACGTCTCGTCCCTCGCCTGTGGATTAACAGTTCGAACGGAGGATTCCTCTTCATCTACCCTTCTGTTCTGTTGTACATTCGACTGGGCTTGTTGCTCGCCACGTGGTTGCTGCTCGACTCGAGGGGGGTACTCGACACGGGGCTGGTGCTCGATCCGGGGTGGGCACTCGACTCGAGGCTGCTGTTCGACCTGCGCTATCTGCTTCATCTGGGCCGCCACGGCTTCAGCAATCATCTTTTGCATTTCACTCCTCGTCATTGTTAAAGTCTGTTCCTCGACGCGGGGTTGTGTCTGTTCCAGTACCTCTTGTATCTGTTTTCCCTCGCGTCGAGACACCTCCATTGGCTCCTTCTCTCCATCTGGGTTAGGGTTTTGACTTGTTCCTGCCTGGGTCAACACTTGCAGCTTCACGCCGGTTGGAGTCACAGGTGTTTCTCCGCCCAACGTCAGTCTTGGTGGTGGAAGTCCTCCGAAAGGTGGCATTCCCATCATTTGCATTACGGGGTGTTTGGTGGTGGAGAGCGGCAGTGGCCTCTTGTCCATCCACGTCCCTCTAAATTCCTCGCTCAAGTTCCTCTGCAAGCCCTCCTTCTCCGCCATCAGCAAACAGATCGGAGCTGGGTGTGAAGGTCTTCCTTCCTTCAAGAATTCCCCACAGACGGCGCCAATATGATGGGTCTACTTCCAGATCTGGAGTAAACCAGTTGTTGTGAGCTCAGATCTGCTTGAACCGCTTCCCAACCGTTGCTAAACCGCGAGATTCCTGCAAAAACTCAACGCCGGAGGTATTTCCGGCATAGAGCCTCCGACGCTCAAGTCAGTGTCAGAAAGATGAGAGGCTGCGCAGCAGCTGTGGGGGAGAGTGGGAATCAATGAGAGTTAGGGTTTTGGGGTTACCTCATCTCCTTTATATAGGAGGGAATACTTACTTGAAGTGCCCAAAATGCCCAAGTCGGTGGACCTAGAAGGTCCAAAATGCCCTGGTCGATTCGTCTCCCCTTGTTGCTGAGTCATCACACGATTCCTTCTTATCTTTTGTAATATGTGGAACTTCAAATATGCTGCAAGTGTGATGAATCGTCACCATGTTCTCGGCCTTGAGGCGTAAGAAGTCGACCTCGAGCACTGGGAGGTCGACTCATGATCATATGAATATCCGGAGGCTACGCTTTATCGTTCTTTTGAGTGGCAATCGCCTTCAGAGAATCGTCTTAGCGAGGTCGACTTCTGAGAGTCGACTTAGAGTGTCTGGATGTTCGGAAGTTATGCTTTTGCTGTTCTTCCGCTATTGATATCGACTAGAGAAAGTCGATAGGCTAAGGTCGACTCCCGAGAGTCGACTAGGCTGATTCCTGCCTCGTCTTGATTGCTTTCCATAGAATCGACTTTAGGAAAGTCGATTTGGACATGTCGACATAGTCATGTCGACATGCAAGTTGTTCGAATGGTTCACCGGTCGAGTAAGAAGCCTCTGGACCGGGTTATCCTTATGTGGCTATATCGTATACTATATGTTATATACTATATGTTATATATTGAGTTTAATGCACCAAACTCCCCTGTATTATACTAAATCTGCGCGTTTCCTCCCTGTATTTTAAAAATTGCGTCAAACCCCCTTCTATTAAGGTTTCAGGTACACACGCTCCCTTGTCTCTATTTCTCGTTAACGGCGTTAGTTTTTCTTCAAAAGTTCCGTTGTACCCTTTGAATATTATACATATATTTACGATATTTTGAATATATCGCGAGAAAATGAATTAAAAAAAATTGCAGCCCTTAGGATTCAAACCTAGTACCTCATGGAAGCAAGACAAGCAATGCAACCACTACACCACTCAAGGTTGAGTGTTAGAACTAGGAATGTTTGATATATATGGACATTGTTATGGATAAGTGAAATTAAATTTAGAATATATAAATTATATTAAATTAAATTATTAAAATATAAAGTTATGATAATTCAAATATAATAAACTAAATTATATAAAATTAAACAAAAATAATAATTTAAATAATTTATTATGTTAAACGAAAAAAAATTAAAATAAAATATAAATAAATATAAAAAAATTGTAGTTAAATAATAAATAATATAATAATTAAGTAAATCTATATATTTATAAAAGATTTTAAAAAATATTAAATATTCTAAAAATAATTAAAATAAATAAATACAAATTATATATAGCTATTTAATAAAAAATATTTTATTTTCGAAATTATACTTTATTAATATATTATATATATAAGTATTATTTAATGTTATTAAAAATTTAATTTAATTTAATTTATCATTTAATTTTATTATAAATTTAATTATTTAAATTAATCATTTAAATTTATTATAAATTATATTTAATATAATTTATACATATTATATTACGTCACTTCATTAAAACGTATATTGAAATTTTACACTACAATTTATTTTACATTTATATTATTAATTTATTAAAATGAAATTATCATTTTGTTGTTATATTAAATAGTAATATATTTATTAAGAGTAAATCATATTAAAATTATTTGATAAATAATATATTATATTATATTATATTAATTTCAGTTCTTTATTTATTTAATTTATTATTTCATAGTAAGATATTTGATTTATTATTTATTTTACTTTAAAATTTTTATACTTTATTATCTTATGTAATTATTATTTTTATTTTTCTTTAATTAGTTTATTTTAATTTTATTTATTTATTAATTTCATTTTTGTATTTATTTTTCTAATTAAAAACTATTTAATTATAACTTTATTTAATTTTAGTTCACGCTAATACATTAAATTTTATCTTACTTTATTTTAATTTATTTTTTTTTTCATTATATTAAGTTAATTTAATTTATTGGAAGTTATTATTATTTTTATTATTAATTATTTAATTTATAGTAAATTGACATATTATCCTTTTATTTTATTTATTTACTTATTTTTAAACTATTTAATTCATTTCAGTAAGATGTATAGATATTGTTCGTAAAATTTTTGTGGGTATTTGGTAACCGAGTTACCCGACCTCGGGTCGATCTCAAGGAAGGTCGTTCGGAGTTTTTTTTTTTATTTAATTGTCTAAATACAAAAATGAGAAAATAAACCTAAACATTCTAATCCCTTTTTGATGTGGTTTTATAATTAACTAAAATTCTTAATTTAATTTAACAAACATAAAATGAAAAGAACAGTGAATAAACAACAGTAAAATAATAAAAATGGTAAATAGGTAAAAAGAATAAAGATGAGGAAAGTGTTAGGGAATCGGGAAATAATTGTATCAATTCTAATGATAACTTCAAATTGTTAATCATTCGGTTAAATGATTCGATAAACACACTAATTTAGAGGTTCATATTCCATTCAGTTACGAGTAAGAATATAAACATAAATCAATGTATTCGCGTACCACTTAACATATAAGCAATACAGTTACGTGTAAACTTATTTATTTCGAGCCGTGATCAATCAACTTCGCCATTTTCGGGTTAAAAGTCGATTAAGTAGATTTAAAAGAATGTTTAGTTCTACTTAAATCATAAAAATAAATATAACTCGAAATAATAAGAACAATCAACAATTCGTCATCATCATCGAACCGACACAATCATTTCCCTATCCCTAACGAAGGGTTTAGTTCGTCATGATTTTATTGACACAAATAATAAGAATAATCCAAGCTATCGTTTTACTCATAAAAACTTTCGAACGATAACTTACGATTACGATTAAAACTTGACGTCAATATATCACTTAGAACTTTTAGGAAAATGAAAATAAACAACTTACAAGATTAAAACCAAGCTTGCATGCAAAGATCAAACTTGAAGAATATCAAGAACACTAAGAACACTAACTCGAAATAATATTTACATAGAAAAGAGAAGAAAAGTGAAGTTGTGAAATAAGTGAAAGAGAAGAGAGTATTTATAGGAAAAAAAAAATAGAAAACTTGTAATAAACGAGGGTGGGGGTGCTGGAACACGCCGACGAGGCGGTCCTTCCCATGGATCGATATCAGATACCAAAACATGTACATACATGATTTCGATTAAACCTAAGCATGCTCCTAAAGGATGAACAGAGATATACCTTTGTTCAAGGCTTTGATTCGATCTGAGCGATCTTCTAAACTGTGTCCTGACCGCGTTTGGACGCCGGATGGACGACGATCCTCCAAACGGTTGAAAGAAGAGAACTGCCCACGTCTTTCTCGAACCCTTCTCATTACTCTTTCCACGATGGTGGCTGGAGTGTCTCACGAAAGTCTCTTAGGGTTTAGAATGTGGGAAGTCCCCTCTTTTTATAGAGGTCCTTGGGCCAGCCTAGGGATCTCTTAGAGGTATAGGGTTTGGGCTCCCTACAGGCCCAAATTCTTATGTTCAGCCCAGAACACAATTTTGGCCCGTAAATATTAATTCATTCCACTAGAGAATGATTTTGAATAATGCATGTGAAACTTCCAGTAGCACAATAGTAAAGGCTAGGAAAAAACCCATAGTTGAAATGTTGGAATTCATTAGAACATCTATAATGGAAAGGCATCACCAAAAGTTGATGGCAGGTAGTGGGTGTACTGATGTGATATGTCCTAGGATAAGGAAGAAAGTTGAGGATGCTAAGTTTAAAAGTAGGTTGTGGGTGCCTAAACCTGCAGTGGGTGATAAGTTTGTTGCTATCTATGATGATCAATTTGTTGTTGATATGAGGGCTTTCAGTTGCACATGCAGATAGTGGGATATTTCTGGCATTCCCTGTATACATGCTTCTTCAATAATACTCTATCTCAAAAGGGATGTTTCAAAGTTTGTGAATCCCTACTTTAGGACATAGAGATATATAAGAGCATACTCATATGCACTTGAACCTATCAATGGGAAGAAAATGTGGCCTTCTGGCACTGGGACCATGGTGAAACCCCCACCATATAAGAGAATGCCAGGTAGACCCAAATTGAAAAGAAAGAAGGCACCTGAAGAAGAAGTTAAGAGTGTTTCAAAACTGAAAAGGTTTGGCTTGCAAATGAGGTGCCAAAAATGCTTGCAGATTGGACATAACAAAAAGATGTTGCAAAAATGAAGCTGCACCAAGGACACCTAAGGTGAGTATTTATTCATACAGTTTATTTATTTTAAATTGCATTGTATCTTGTTTTGGTAACAACTCATATTGTACTTGGACTGCTGAGAAAAATAGGAAGGCCAAGAACCAAGGCAATATCTTGCCCTCCTGAAAATGAACTTAATGATGCAGTATAAGTTCTAAGTTTTCATTGCAGGCAAGAAAAGGCTATGGAGTTATGGTTTCACCAGAAACAGGCAACACATATATAAGGGTTGACATTTTTCTTAATTCATGTTAATTACTAATTTAAAAAATTAGGTAACTAACACTCTTGTCATTCATTTTCAGATGTCAAGTGACAAATGGATCAGAAGTGTTGAAAACAATGCAGGAACACAAGAAAGTATGGCCAAATAGTTCTTAGATGTTAGGTCTTCAGTTTGAAGTTGAATAGGATTTTGTCCATGGAAGCACACAAGGTCGTCAACTTCAGGGGCCAAATTTGAAGTTGAACCACGACCTCCACTACCACACGATCCACTAGACATCTTCAGAGTAGTCGGATTCTTGGCAATGAATCAGTACGCGTTCTACAGAAATGAGAAATAGAAGCCAGGGTTCTTGATTTGGGATTTTCTCATCAATTGTGGAATTTGGGGTTTTGTATTTATAGGAGAAAATAATTTGCTTATGTTCGATTTCCATGTGGATTTGTGGATTTTGTTTGTTATTTTTGGACTTCCACGCGTGTTTCTGATTTCCACGTGAGTTTTCAACGATGCCACGTAAGAAAGCATCTGCGGGTTTACGTTTGGCATGCTTCGATTTGTCAAATGTCTAAAGTTGGTGTACTTAGTTGCAAACTTCGAAATGTGATGATTAAATTGTAAAAAATTGAAAAGTGGTGTATTTTAATGCAATTTTGCCTTTTCTTTTAATGATTTTTTTCGTAGCTCCCGTGTATTTACACGGGTAAGTGTACTAGTTAATATTTAAAATAATTTTTATACTAATCAATATTTATTTGATATATGCATTTTATAATTAATTCTGCATTCTCCTATCTACCTTAATGCTCTCTCTCTCTCTCTACTTCTGTGTCTCAAATGATTTCCTTTTCTCGCATTCTCAATTCATTAGCGGACACTCATGCACACAAAGCAATACATACACATATACAGAAGATACTGTATGTATGCGCTTTCAAATAATCATAGTCTGAGAAGCTAGGTCTGTTTTCTGTTTTGTATCTTTTGTATACGCGCACTGCAATCGAAGGTCATTCAACTTCTGAGGTATGTTTCCGTTATCTAATCCTTATTGTGGCACTCTCCATCTTATCCTTATTTTATCCCATTTATGCTTATGCTTCATTGATCTTAGTTTTCACTGCAGTATTTTGTTGCTCGGGGCTGTGTTATTTTCTGAAAATGGTGACATTGCTCATTTCCGTTTGATGAAGTGATAGATATTATGCTACCACCACATGGTTTCAAGCGATTTACTGAACACAACTCCATGATTTGTTGTCCTACTGTAGAAATTGGATCCATGAGTGATTGTTTTGTGCCGCCGGTAGTTTGGTTGAAATCTGTTTTTCCCTCCTAGTGGCCAAAAAAATTGGGAATTCGGGTTTATCAGGATTTTATAGTTTGGTCTTGGCAGTGATATTTTCTTTCTGAGTGAGGCATGGCTAATGTTGGTCAGCCGCTGCAGCAAAAACCCGAGAGCATGGAGAACGACAGCCGTTCCGAGTTCGAGAGGGACCTGGAGGAGCTGATGCTCAGTAATTACGATGAGTACATGTCGTTTGCTTCGTGCAGCTCGCCCAGAAAGGCCACCACTGAGGATGATGAAAACGTGGGCGAGCAGCTTGTGAGGAGAAGGCGGAGGTCCGATCTCGAAGGCGATGACCTGGCGGAGTCCTCTGCTGCCCGGAGGCGCCACTCGTGGATCCTCAGCCGATGGGCTGCCCGCCAGGCCCAGGAGATGATCACCACCATCGAAAGGAGGAACCGCGAGTCGGAGCTGATGGCGCTTGCTGGGCTCCACACGGTCTCCATGCTCGACTCCTCCTTCCTTAGGGAGTCCCAGTCCCCGACCTCGAGGCGCCAGGGGGACGTTGAGAGGCTCAGCTCACGGGCCTCTTCTATCCTTCAGATGTGGCGAGAGCTGGAGGACGAGCACGCCATAAGCCGTGCTCGAGGGAGAGTGAGGGATTCTAACACGAATGCGTCTGAAGAGAATCATGGGAGTCTGGGCAACTCCAGCGAGTATGCCACACCTAACGATCAGGTGGGCCCACAGGACAGGGACAGGGTCCATGAGAGCTCTAGTCGCGAGCAGTCTCCCGATCTTGGGGAAGTCGAGAGGGAGAGGGTGAGGCAGATCGTCCGCGGGTGGATGGAGAGTGGTATTAGCGATAACGTGATACAGAGGAATGAGAGTCCTAGAGCTGAATGGCTCGGGGAGACTGAGCGTGAGAGGGTGAGGATTGTGAGGGAGTGGATGCAGATGACCAGCCAGCAAAGAGGTGGTCGGAGGGGGGAACGTGATAGTGAGCCTGGCGGTGATGGTGATGGTGCTCGCGAAGGGTCTGCTGCGGAACAAGATGAAGGCCAGCCGGAGCATGTGCGGCGGGACATGTTGAGGTTGAGGGGGCGGCAAGCGCTGCTTGATTTGCTCGTGAGGATTGAAAGGGAGAGACAACGGGAACTTGATGGCTTGCTGGAACATAGAGCTGTTTCTGATTTTGCTCACCGCAATCGTATTCAGGTAATCTTGTACAAAATTGTGTGTCCTTTATTGTTTTCAGATATATTATTACCTGTTCATTAGAAAGAGCCGAGCTTCAAAATGATGACTGATCGTTTATCAAGTCTGTAAACTGATTTGTTGTAATATATAAATTGTCATATGTAACTTGTAATACTTAAGTTCAATATGATATCTATAGTTACCATATAGCTAGAGAAACAATTTAGTATGTATCTTGGGTGAGGCAGCACTGCACAGGAAGTTACTCGAGGTTTGAGTTGACTAGTTGTATCCTAGGTTCTTTTACTTCGTCTGATGCTTGCTATATCTACTTCCTGGATATAAGTAATGTGTAATCAAGCCTAGGTTCAACTTCACCTATGTGGTTTCGATTTGTATGAAAGAACTTATTTGTCTGGTTTTGTTTTTTCCGCAACTCTTTGATCTGGATTTGAGTGTTTTCGTTGACGTGCATTTAGACTGTATTTATAATTTGCATTGGCTTGCTCTAGGCATGTTGTTGAAAAAATAAAGTCTTATCCTCCTATGTTGAAATGTCATCTTAGATTGGCATCTTTTATTTTCAGTTGGAACTTTATTGCTAGTTGTGAAGTTTGGACTGCTAGATGACTATCAGAAAAACTAGGTTACTTTTTTTTAATGCCGTTTTTGTATAGTTTATGCTTTGTTTATATATTTCAGTCCCTACTTAGAGGCCGTTTTTTAAGAAATGAGAGGCCTGCTGAGGAAGAGAGACCACCTTCCGTGGCAGCTAGTGAGTTAAACCAGTTAAGACAGCGACATACAGTCTCTGGCCTGAGGTATGCCCATTATCCAAGTCATGCACGGATATGTCGTAATTGGATTACCTATCTATCCTTTGATACTTTAACCTTTCTTAGATTCGTCGTTGTTTCATGTTGCAATTCAAGTCGTCTTTACTCTTAACAGACTAATTCTGGTGATAGGATTAGATAGCATTCTATACCTTGTGCAAAAACTGTCTCTCTCTCTCTCTCTCTCTCTCTCTCTCTCTCTTTTTAAATAATAAGAATAATTTATTTATGCTTATTCAATATGTTCATCTAATCATCCAAAGAAATTGAAGGAGCTAAAGCTTATGAACTGAGGAACAACTTCTGCTACATACTATTGGTTTTGATGCGTTTTCTTCTATAACTCTCTTAAAAGGGAAAGGGAGAGTTGTTTCTTGAAAAAATTGATTTGCCAAAAATACCCAACACTATAGCTACTTTCTAAGGTTATTCATGTAATTATAGCATTAATGTTTGGGAGTTACAATTATTAATAGTTACATTCACTTTTCAATCAAATATTGTTCATTCTTCTATATTTTTATTCTAATCTTTGATCTTATTAACTTTAATTATATATTATGTATTCTATAATTTATTTTTTAGTTGATATAGACATTTAGATTATCTAAGTAAATATAAAATAATAAAATAAACTGAAATAAACATAATGTGATTAATACAAGGTTAATTTTTATTGTTCTTATGTTATATGAGATCATTAAAACTTTGTATAAAAAATATATTTCTAAAATCATTATATCACTTAACTTGAATTTATTAGTTATCAAAAGAAATAATTACAATTTCAAATACTATTTTACAAATTAGATACAAATTTACGCTTTTAATTTGTTCCCAGTTGTATATTCAATATTATTTATATTTACACTAGTTATCAATTTGGTTATTAAGAGCATCTCCAATGTGAGATGTTGACTTAATAAAATGTTAACCACATCATCAAGTTATAAAGTGATTACAAAAATTACTCTCCAATCCATAATGTTATGGACTCTTTTATGCTGACATGGAGACAATAAATATCCAAAGTGTGAAGCCCACTTTCTAGTTTTCCAAAGAGTGTTTGAAAGCCAACTCATCAAAAATCTAACATATTTTAAGGTTTTGAAAGGGATGCATTGGAGATGTGTATTCCAAATTAAAGTCTTCTCTTTTGACATTCATATTACATGGATTTACATTCCATTCATCATTTGACATGTGTTCAAATTTAATTAATGTACAAAGTAGAGCATTGGAGATGCTCTAAGATTGAAAATATAACTTATAATTTGGTTATTTATATATACATTAGTTATCAATTTGGTTATTAGGAAAGTCTTGAATGTCCATATAAAAAGGAGTAGTGCATATGTAATAATGTTCGAGAAACACATTGTCCATGTTTTCTTATATATAAAAGTATCTTCAATCTTGTTATGTTCATGATTGTTAATCAATTATTTTCATCTTTTGTTATACATAAAATGGTCGTTATTCTTAAACACTAGTAAAGTTAAAATCTTTAGTTTTATTTATTTAGTTTTATTTAATCATAGCTTTATATTAATACCATTATAGATTATTTCAGTGCCCATTAAGTTTATATAATTTATTATATAGATATATATGTATATATATATATATTATTAACCTAATGGAAAATTTTCAATAATTAGATATAAGTTCAATAAAAATAAAATTTAAACCATAAATAGATATTAGTAACCACGTGCAATGCACGTGCATCTTCCTAGTATTATGAAATGCAAGAGCATTGTTAACCTAAAACCATAGTAATGCAGCTTATGGTTGAGTTCACCAAAAGACTAGGTAATTCGAATGTTCTATTTCATTCGAACCATTGGACGTGTGCCTTCATATATTTTAGGTGCTTGAAACTCGATTAAAAGAACTGATGTATAGTTTATGTTGTGTTCTGGTTTCACAAGAACAAGGATTCCTACATTATTAAGTCTCTATTTAGCATCCCTATATGGGGTCAGATCTCCAGTTCCATTTTCATATTCAATCTCGTGTTTCATTCCTTTGGATTCATGACATGATACAAATATTACGTCATCATAGACACATGTCGTACATCCAATGGAATGAAAATCGAAATTGAATGCAAAATTGGAACATAAAATTTCAGCCCTCCCTATACCATAGAATCATTAACTGAATTGGTTTAGATGATGCCCATTTTAGAAAAGCTGCCTGTTTCCTTGCTACACTAGACTTGATAAAAATTGCAGTTATGCTGCATAATTGCTTCTGTAAAAATTGCCTTTCTTACTTCACAATCTGAAAAGTTGAACCCTTTATTTATTTCAGCATATTTTGTTTGTTGAGCTACCATAGAATGGCTGCTGGGCTGAGTAAAATAAGGAAATCATAAGATGAGTATGGATGGTTAAGGTATACTTTATGAAGGGAGATATAGTCGAATTTGAAGAAGATACACTCCGTAGATGCATGTGTTTGATTAGTTAGTTAGTGAAGCAAAATACTTGGGCGGTGTTCTGTAGCCAGTTTGAGATGACCAGACAAAAATAATTTTAATTTTCTTATCAGAATGGTTTATGCAAGAAAATTAAAGGAGACCTTCAGAGTGTTGCTCTGGATGGAATTGGCTCATCAGTTCTATAGAAAATGTCAATCAGTAGAGAGAAAGTTCTCTTTGTAAAGAGGTCGTTGAAATCAGTATGTGACAATTTGTTCCACTCTGTTCTTGGATGTGGTATTCCAAATTAAAATGCTCTATGTAACAGAACATCAACCATCAGTACATAATACTTGCATCTGGACTATTTGCCTATTTGTTATCTCTTCCCCCGCCCCCATTCTCCCTTTCTTGGTAGTTGATATGTTTGACAACTTAGTACAAGTTACTATATTTAAGGGTGTGTTTGTAAAAGAAATAACTCACACCAAATTTATTCATACTCAAAATGTAACTCATCTTTAACTCAACCCTATTATCCTCAATATTATCAATATAATTAAATAATAACCAGTCATTAAATAATAACAACCAATCATTTTTACACATCAGATCAACTTTAATTAAATATTCATCCACTCAATAATTATTCATCACTTCATCTCATCTCTCTCCTACTTTTACCTCAAATCAAATTTAATTATTCTATTTTAAATATTATTTTAATATAAAGTTAAAATCACACTAACAACTAACTATACCACTTTTTCTAAATTAACCCTAGTTAACTAAAAAAACTCACTTTGAGTTAATTCACTCAATTTATTTCTTTTACAAACACACCCTAAGGTTTGTATGGAACAATCCTAAACAAATCATTCTCACTTCATCGTGCCATTAAACATACAATTTCACTCAGCATGGATTTTAAATGAGACCTTACTCCATCGCGCCATTAACTATACAATTTCACTCAGCATAGAATTTTAGATGAGACCTTCTGGAATGTGGTCTGATATAATCATGCCGCTTCAGTTGTGGTTGAGGGTTAGTGGTGTCACATTACTGCTTTCACAGTGCAGGTTTATGTGGAAACTATTTAAAAAAAAAAAGATCTTTAGGACCATATGGAGTTTCATTTCCAAATTTATCACCTCGATTCTAACATATTTAGGATGGTTAACTTTCAATTATTTCCTGTAATATGAAATTTTGAATCTGGTATTATTGTGTATTTCTCGACTATATGGGTGTTGAGATGAAATTGTATTTGACACCACTTTACTGGTCTAATGGTGTGAGGTTTTGTGGAAACAAATTTTCATGTTGGGTAGCACCTTATACTTTCTTTGCTTACATCATCCAATTGCACTTGTAGAAAATAAAGAAGTGTATCTCTCTTGTTTGATGCATGTTTGTGTACTTCAATTCAGGGAAGGGTTCCGCTTTAGATTGGAAAACATTGTTCGTGGTCAAGTAAGCAGCCATCCTGTTACCTCTTCTAATGTTGGAAACTATGATTCCAGAAATGATCAGAGAAGCATGAATGTTTTACATGAGATGCAACATGGAAATCAGGATATTGATGATCGGTTGCCGGATCGCATGGAGAATATGGATAGATCTACTCAAAATACAGATCTAAATGTTGGTCCTAATGTAGGTATCCAGTGGCAGGAACGGGTTTCTGAAGATGAGAGAGTGACACTACAACAATCCGCAGAAAGTTATCCTAATCGTTGGATACATGACACTTCAGCTGGTGCAGCACAGAATAGGCCCGAAAACGCAATGACTGACTGGCCCTCGGCAGTGGTAGCTGAAGATGGACATCAACATCGTTTAGAACTAACCCATGAGGTTTGGAATGCAAATGGTTCACGTGAAGCTGTTGATAATTGGTCAGGAGGACCTTCAGACACTTCAAGAACGAGGCGACCTCTTTCTATCAGGAGAGTCGCCAGGTTTCACCCCCCTGAAGATGATAATGTATACAGCATGGAACTCAGGGAGCTATTGAGCAGGTTACTGTCCCATTATGTTGTGTTTTCGGTCGAATTACACTTTAAGGGATCTTTGCAGAAAGTAATTTATTCACTTAATTCTCCACAAAAAAAGGTAAACATTCTTAAATTGCAGACTCCCTTAAGATTAATTTGTTTTTTAGTTACCCCCTCAACACGGTGCAATTTGAAAAATTTGAAAATATGCATTGGGTATAATTAATTTGAACAAATATGCTCCCTCCGTTCCCTAAATAAAAGTCTTTTTAGCTTCGTTTTCTGTTCCAGAATAATTCCTGTCTAAGGAATTCAAGGTACTTTTGGCTTGAAAATTCCAAAATTACCATTAATTATCACTTGTAGACTGAATGTGTTCATATCTCCAAGATGATTGCTGGAATTAAGAAAAGAAAAAAGTTTGATGGTAAGATCATCCATTTCATAAGATTTTGTAAATTGTGAAATCTTCTGAGACCACAATTGCTCAGGAGGGAGCATTAGATGCACACATTTTTTCCTTTCTGGTTGGTAATTAGGCTATTTCTAATTATAATTTCGTTTACATATAGTTCTCTCCAACTCATTTTAAATATCACGTTGTAGAAGGAGTGTTTCAAATTTACTTCGGAGTGGTTTCCGAGAGAGCCTGGATCAGTTAATTCAATCATATGTGGAAAGGCGAGGGAGGGCTTCTATTGATTGGGATCTCCACCGGAATTTGCCCCATCCTTCATCACCTGAAAGAAATCAGGACACACAAAGTGATGAGCAGATTGAGCATCAGCATGACACTACTGGTAGGCCGTCACTGGTGTTACCCACTCCTCCAGTACCACCACCACAGCCCCTGTGGCATCAAGATTTGAACCACTCTGGCTGGTCTCGTCACAGTGTCCATCGTTCGGAAGTCGTAAGTTAAATATATTCCATGCTGAATGCCGAAAGCTGCTCTACTTTGATTATATCATGCTTTTAAATCTTCTGTTTCTCCATTTTATTATGAGGTCAACTAAAGAAACTACTAAAGTTAAAGGTATTATAAAAAGATCCAGATAAGCTCGAAAGTTGATTAAAAAAAAATCCATTTTAATTTCCTTTTTGTTTGCTCTCAAAACAATATCGGAGTTATTAAGGCAGCAATGGGTTCTTTTCGTAATTTTGGAACTTTCTTTGCCTATTTTGTTATCACCATGGGGAGTTTTTTTTAGTAATCCTTTTCTTATAGGCTTCTGTGTGTTAAGTAGTTCAGCTGTTTGGGCTCAATGGAAGGACAGTCTTGTGTTTGCTGATAAATGGTGAAGTCTGGCTGGAATGCTTGCATATTATGCTAAATTGTGTTGCATCCACCTTTGGGACTGTTATTACTGGTTCAGGCCCACAACTTATATTTGTATTCAGCAGGGCTAAGAACATATAGTCATACTGCTATAAACGGTCATTACCAAATTTATTTCACAAGAACAAAGTAAGTTCATCAATTGAATGCGTTCTTGGTAATAATATTGAGCAGGAGTGGGAGATGATGAATGATTTGAGGGCCGATGTTGCCAAGCTGCAGCAAGGTATGAATCACATGCAGAGGATGTTAGAGGCTTGCATGGACATGCAGCTTGAACTTCAGCGCTCGGTTAGGCAGGAAGTTTCAGCTGCTCTTACCTCTGGTGGACAAGGTGCATTTGCCTCCTTCTCTTTTGGCAGTCAGTAGTTCTCTAAGTTTCTGTGGATAGAAAGTACAATGCTACCTATCCTGTTGGATTTGTCATTTTTAGGATTGTGCTATCTGTTTCTAGCAATACTTCAATTCTATCTTGCTCTTTGTGATTGAATATATTTATGCAGGCGTTATTGCTGAGACATCGGCGGACGGGTCTAAATGGGGCCATGTAAGAAAGGGAACATGTTGTGTTTGTTGTGATAATCAAATCGATGCCTTACTGTACAGGTAATGTTGTTGCTACTGATGAGTAGTTTGTTTTATGCTTAAATGAATTGTGATTTATTTATTTTCTTGAATATTATCTATTTTTGGATCGTTTGGCCTTTCTTTCCCTTCATTTATCAGTGAAAACTATAAATGGATGTGACTGAACAATGAGTGGTGAGTCCTACATCTCTATTTGGCAATTAGAGGGTAGCTAATAATCAATAGTTGATTGCATTAGCGGATAACTAAGTGGTTTATTAACTAAGTAAAACAACAGAAAAATTATGATTGTTGAGTGTTCGTAGATTGAAAAAATACAATCAATTAAAATAATTTTTGAGTTCTTCAAATTGCATGTGGATAGAAAACTAAAACTGCAAATGTAATTTGTTTGGCAATCGTTGCTAGAAATGTTATTTCAGCTAACACTGTGCATCTTATTTAAATCCCAGCTATCATAGAATCTGCATTTTGGCCAGAATACATGCTGACCATATAACACCATTAGAAGATTTGACTGATGAATCTTCCTGATGGGCTCTTCAAACTAAAATACTTGCCCAAACTTTACTATCAAACACAACCCGTTCTTTTGGAAACATGTATCCAGATTCCAGAGTGAAATTGTGGACCAAAAATTTACAAGTAATCAGTCAGTGTGTTCCATTTTCGTAGTTGTGTGTTTGCTGACCTCTCTCTCTCTCTCTCTCTCTCTCTCTCTAGATGTGGGCACATGTGTACATGCTCTAAATGTGCGAATGAGGTGGTTCGTGGAAGTGGAAAGTGTCCCTTGTGCCGCGCACCCATTGTTGAGGTGATTAGAGCATATTCCATACTCTAAATATTTAATGGAAAAAAAAAGTAAGCTGTTTGGAAGATTGGAGTTGCTATTGGTGGAGTAAAAGGTGATCTCCCTCTCTTACGATTGGTAGAGTATTCAGTCTATTGCTTTTTCTTTTTTTTTTTTTCTTTTTTATATGTTCAAAGTTAAAAATTGGACAATATATGGCACCTATTGTTTCCTCATACATTCGTAAATAATATATTTATATCGATTCTTTCTTGGGAAAGTATATCAAGGTTTGATTTATCATTTCTTTTCGCATGCTTTACTTTTCAGTCTTGTTTTCAACTTTTTCTGCAATTGAAAGGGAGGATGCACAGAAACAGTTGAAGCTGAAGTTATACAAACCATAGGTCCACGAATTTTTATTTGCACAAAAATTGGCTAAGCACTGCGAGTGCCGGGCCATGGAAAGAAAACCAGTCGTTAATGACCACATAGGAGGCCCAAATTGGTCTTAGGTACACACCAGCTAGGGAAAAATTAAGGAATAAAAGGGTATATATATAGAGAAGAGATCATATGAGAAAGATAGATAGTGAAAGAAATGAGAATAAGTTTGAACCATAGGATCAAACATGTCAATGGTTATTCTGGAGTCAAACTATGGTCAATCATTAATGGTAATATGGTAATTATTTGATTATATTGTGGTCAAATATGTGCATTTGACCAATAATTAAGGGTAAGTTGGTCAACACACATATTAAGTGGTACCCACTCACCAAATCACTTCACCACACATTTTCTCTTTCCTCAACCTCTCACTCTCACCTTCACGCATTGAACATGCACACACTACACACACTACACACACACACACACAGAGTTTCGATAGGTCAATCGCCACATCGCTGCCGCCTTCGATCAACAACCATCCATTTTGCGCCCACCTTCTGGCCACAGGAACATCGCCGCACAGCCGCCTCCGCCTGTACCTGCATAACCTCCGCCGTCAAGGGGCTGCTCGGTCGGAAGGCTAACTGAAGGTGTTTGCTCGACGGTTATGTTCGGAGGAGGGGAAGCAGAGCGGTTGGACTGGGAGGCAACCGAGTCAGCCGGTTTCGAGCTCGACCCCTCACCGGGTTGCTTCCTTTTGAGAGGAGCACTCCGTTTGGGCAGAGAGATAGTCGGCATCTCTGTCAAAAATCATGAACAAAGTCAAGGTTACAGCAGACAAAATCATATAGCAATACAATAATGTCAGGCACACTTAATAAAATGAAAATACCTGGATCGTCTATAATTCGAATAAGATCGAATGTCTTAGGGGAAGGAAGGGGAAGTGATTTGTGAGTGAGAAGACCACAGTAATGCAAAAGGTTGGCGTCCTCAAGTAGAGTCTTCGACACAACAGGCTTGGTGTTCCAAACAGCAATCCGTTGGTCGAAGAGGGCGTTCTGAGGAGGCACTGCGGTATCACGGGTGAGCTCCTTACGCCATGGAATTGGCTCCCAAGGGAAGGCAGGACTGGGTTCAACGAAGGCGAACCTATCTCTCCACCTTGGGACGTTGGTGGGGGTGTCGGAGATGAAGTGAATATCGGCTCGACCTTTGAGGTAGAGCCCTTGAGGGTGTTTCGAGGGGGTGTAGCAATAGTGGAAGAAATCGAGGTCGAGCCGACCTAGACGGACATGGCAAAGAATGATGAAAATGGTAATGAATCGAATAGCATTGGGAGGAAGCTGGTTCAAGGGCAGATCGAACCACCGGCAAATATCGATCAAATCTTGGCACAATGGAAAACGGATACCAAGCTTAAACTGCACTTCGAAAAAGGTATAACAACCCTTGGGGGGATTGTCATATGTATCCTTAGGACTGGGAGATACGAACGCCCACTTAGCTGGGTGACCAACCTCATTGATGTTCAACCAGCCGGCGATGAGAGAGTGAGAAGAGGGCTAATTCAAGGAGGAAGCCTTGACTAACCTCCTCTTCTTAGTAGGCTTGGAGGGTGTAGCAGTAGGACCTGAGCGGGTCGGTGAAAGAGGAGTGTGGGAAGGAGGAAACGTTTTGTTTCGACTTGCTCGAGGAAGCGGCTTTGGCAAACACAGGGTGGTGAGAGAGAGGAACAGTATCTTCATCATCCTCAATAGCGGTCTCAGCAGCATCGAGAGCCTCTTCGGCGGCGTCAGAAGCCCCGAACGCCGGTCGCCGGCGCCTCAGAGGGATGTGATCGAGGGTATCCCCATCCGATCCGTCAATCAGATGAGTAGATGGGCAGGAAGGAGAAGGTATGGCGTGGTCGGAAGGGCGTAGAATGCTGATGGGAACAGGATTGTAGATTTCCTCAACAGAGCGAGAGGGTGAGTGAGGGACAGGCTGGCGAAGAGGGAGAGACGACGCGCTTGCCTCATCCTCACTGAATTGACGGCTCGATGCGTTAGAATCGGCGGAATCTGAAAAAATAGAACAAAAATTGAGGGAAAAGAAGAAGAATTAGGGTTCCGAAAAGCAAGAAAGGTGGGTCCTTTGGCCGCAAGCGAAGCGAGAAGAATTGGGGAAAAGGAAGAATTAACAGGGAAATCGAAAAATTGACAAGATAAACACGCATAAATATAAAATCGGAGCACAGGAGACTTACTCATGGTCGTAGTGGAGAAGTGGTTGCCGGAAAGTGCTTGAACAGGCGTTGAGAGCAGGCGAGAGCAGTCTGCGGAAAGAGAGTGCGGAGTGCAAAGGAGATTCAAAATTGCAAAGGTGAGAAAAGCTGCAAAAATGACTAAGTATCGTATTTATAGGAGTACAATTGAATAAGGTGAAGAGTTGGGAGAATAGGACCGTTAGATAAAGGAAGATCCAACGGCGGAAACGATTAAAAAGGCGCAGATATCGGAGTGGCACAAATCGCGAGAAGACGTGATGATTAAAGGTACAGAGAAGGAGGACAAGTGGCAGGCGGAAATCGCGCTAAAAATAAAGAGAAATGAAAAGCGATCATTACAGGCAATAAAAGAAACCACGTGGTCGAGGAAAGGTAACAACATCAACTAGAGTGATCGAAAGGGAAGACCAGAAGGCGACATCAACAAAAAATGATCGAGAGGATTGACAAGACGGAAAGGGGGCTCGAATCCACTCTTAGATCGAGTCATTCAGACTCGACCAGAGTGGGGGGGACTAGATGATGTGGGATATTATAAGACTAAGGAGTAGACCGGTTCGTCATGTCGGTCAGGCAGGCATAGGAGAGGAAACTACGTGGGTTGAAGGATGATCGACCAAAATGGAAGATGTCGAGCAGAACAACAGAGTTGGTCGAGGATCGACCAACGATGGGGAGCTCGATCATATCGGGCATACGACAGGTAGGAGGTAGTCGAGAGCGTGACCTTAACGCGAGTAGGCGCGTGAATGATGCCAGAAGATCCTAACGGCTTGCGCAAGGGAATAATTCCCCTCAGCTCAGAGGGGGGCACGTGGCGAGAATATATTGGTGCCGAGTGATAGTGGTAACAGCCACCTCTGACACCCCTGACATTTCTGACAACATGTACACTGCGTGTGTACGGACGGGCAGCACGGGCAGGACAGCTCACCCAATATCCGGGCAGCTCTTAGGGCAGGTATCCCACTCCTATATATATAGGAGTGGGTCTTTTCTTAGGGTTTACGATTTATCCATTACTTACTTTGAAAAATTGAACAAACATATACTGACTTAAGCATCGGAGGCTCTTCACCGGAAAACCCCTCCGGTGTGAGAGTTTTTATGCAGGAGCGCGGCGTTCTATCGGCGAGGAAGAAGGAGGCAAATCGATTCCGAGCCGGTTGGAGTGTTTTGCGTTACCAGTTTGGCTTAAACAAAACCAAAAAACCATAAATCAAATATCGTAGTAACCAGTGCCTAATCTATATGACGTCTCATATTGCATCACAAACAAGACTTCAAAAAAAAAAAATAAAAAAATCCAGCCCATAAAAATGACGGGACCTTCAGAGAATCATCATCATGCCCGGAAGGAAAGCGCCGGAGAATGAAGGCCGACCGAAAGGAGTGAGAAGGACTCGAAGAAAGTGCGAGCAGCGAAAGAACAGAAAAATAACAGAAATTCAGATTGAAAAACTATACACCATCACATTGGTACTACAAATTTCGAAACCCCATGTACTTGTGAATAAGGCCAGAATGCTGCAATCGGGATGAACTTTCTTCACAATTCCACAATCCCTCGTGGCTCGCTGGAAACGGGCGAGATTCTTCAATCGGGAAAGCGGACGATATGCTACAATCAGGCCTTTCTGCAGAGTCCAGAAATTGGGCAGGGCGATGGATTTCTCTCGCAGAGAGATGTTCTCTCGTAAAATTGGGCGGGCGATGAATTTTAAGTCTCTTAAAATTTTGAACTAGAAATTTTCAGATCCAAATTTTAGATTTGAAACACCATTAACCATGGTTACGGGTAAAGGGAAAANNNCTGAAATTTACATTGCCCAGCTGGAAATTCGGACTAAAGGGCTAGGGCGAAAAAAATAAAATTGTGAAATGGAAATGGCCACGTGGTGCACTGTGATTGGCCCACAGTAAAAACGGGTGCCACCCTCGCGGGTGGCATCGACTAAACCGTGGTGGACATAGCCAACGCCCAACCCACCGCGTCTATACTATAAAGTCTAGGGAGAATTTTATTTTTACACAGCGTTTTGGTAATAACTAATACCGGACAATGATCAATCATATAAAAAAAAACAATATTTCTTAATATAAAAATATAATATAATAATGATTTAATTTTTATCATTTCTTTTATTTTAATGATATGTAATAATTTAAAATTCAAAAAGTCCATTTAAGTATTGTTTAGAGTTTTTGTTCACAAAAATATAAAAATTTTAGCATATCTAAGAAATACTAATTCTTATTAAATTTCCTGATTGTACTAATATCTTAGTAGCATAAATTCTTTTTATTCAATATATAGTCTTAAAGTTAGAAAATTGTGTTTAGGTTTAAAATAATATTTATTTTCTAAATAAAATTAAGTTACTAAAATAATTTAATACCAAGCGGATGTAACATTATTGATTTCAAAGTTATAAAAACTAATTATTTTCAATTAAGGCACTTGAAAAATTATTAATTAGTTAATTTTCCCAATTTA